AGGAATAGGCAGAGGGGATGATACCTGCCTGGAAGGAAAGCTGCAGAGGAATAGGCAGAGGGGATGATACCTGCCTGGAAGGAGAGAGTTGCAGAGGAATAGGCAGAGGGGATGATACCTGCCTGGAAGGAGAGCTGCAGAGGAATAGGCAGAGGGGATGATACCTGCCCGGAAGGAGAGAGCTGCAGAGGAATAGGCAGAGGGGATGATATCTGCCCGGAAGGAGAGAGCTGCAGAGGAATAGGCAGAGGGGACGATACCTGCCTGGAAGGAAAGCTGCAGAGGAATAGGCAGAGGGGATGATAACTGCCCGGAAGGAGAGAGCTGCAGAGGAATAGGCAGAAGGGATGATACCTGCCAGGAAGGAGAGAGCTGCAGAAGAATAGGCAGAAGGGATGATACCTGCCTGGAAGGAGAGAGCTGCAGAGGAATAGGCAGAGGGGATGATATCTGTCTGGAAGGAGAGAGCTGCAGAGGAATAGGCAGAGGGGACAATACCTGCCTTGAAGGAGAGAGCTGCAGAGGAATAGGCAGAGGGGACGATACCTGCCTGGAAGGAGAGAGCTGCAGCATGATTGGTGGAAGAGCTCTGGAGAGACCCATATCTAGCTTCAGCTACTGGGGCTGGAGTGTTCCAAGATCCCTGAAAGGGGCTAGGAAGCCAACTGGGAGGAGGTACTCAGTTGGAGTGCGGGAGCTCCGTCACAGAAGGGTGTGCAAATGAGTCTCTGACTCTTACATACTAGGCTTGTGCTTTAATGTTTATCAGCTTGTATGAATGACCCAAATTTCTTTTAATCTACACCCAAACTAATTGGTCCACCTGGAATAAGAATAAGACTGCACAAGTAAATCCTGGCCAGATCGATTTGTTTGGGCTTATATTTAAAGCATGTACACACACATTATTACACACTTTTAAAGTGGCTCAGTTACTTCTCAGTATTTCATACAGATATAATCTTTATGCTAATTCTGATTATGTTTGAACTTCATTGAAATTTGAATGCATTCCAAGCCTGAAGTTGACAAACTTTTGTCCATTCTCAGCAGCTGTCACAAGTGATGGCTGGCTATGGGATTCAGGCAAGATCTCGCTCCTAGCAAGACGTGATTGATGGATGTACCCATGGTCTTCTCCAAAGACCTCAGTTACAGCAATTACTCTGCTCCTGGCAAATGAAGTGGTAAGAGCAAAAGATGATCTCCAGTGTGTAAACCTACCTTCCACTGTACCCTAAGGCCATTGCACCCTTAGTGGAGATGCCAACTTCAGGGGTCTTTGCAAATTGTGCAAAGACCCCTGAAAGTGACAGATCCATTTTAAAAACTGTTGGGTGACAGACAAAAAGATTTGCCTGACAAACAGGATTCATGTAGCCATAAGGAAATTAGTTAATGAAAACACTCAATCTGACTCTTAAAACGCCAAAAATAAGTGAACTACACCAGTCAAATGAATCTAATGAAGTCTTCCTTGTCCATTATTACATATCCCTCAATATTTAAAGCGGTTCTATCAGCTTCTTGGGTCTTTGCATGATTTACACAGACCCTCAACGGTGCCCAGTGGCCTACGGGTAATGGGGAAGGTTAGTTACCGGACGCTGTCCCTCGCAGCCGACGTCATCTCCATTCTGTGGCTCCTCTTCAGCTCCTGGAGCTTCATCTGCCAGGAGTTCACTTCAGTGCTGTACTCTCGCTCATGTGCAATTCTTATGTCTAAGGAGGATACCATGAGATCGCAGGAGCCCCCATTGGCTTATCAAGCCTTGGAAAAATGCAAAAAACACAACATCTTATGATATTTATGACTGTGTTGAAATTCCAACACACAGTGTGAGTATATCATGAAGATTGAATCTTTGTGAAATACTACATTTTTGGGTGGGGGTAACATAGCCACTTAAAAATAGGTGCATGTCGATTTTAAGGGGGTGGCTTCAGTTGTTACCAGGAATTGGGTTTGTACAGGTGATGACAGATGAATTTGGGACCCAATCTTCTTTTTTTTCTGAACCAAAATAAGATCTTATGTCTTACATTGGGCATTAATCTTTAGGTTACCCCCCTACCCATCCAGCCCTAAAATTACGCTGGAAAATTAGCTGAAACTTACCTGAAATCCAGTACCTGGTGCCGTCTGACACCACTGGAGACATTGTGAGGTCCAATCAAATGCTTCTCATTGAGAAACATTTGCTTAGACCATTAAACCGGCTCAGAGTGCATCGCACTCTCTAAGCACATAAGGGGAAGGAGGAAATGGGGATGTAATTAATTTTTAAAAACTGAGGATAAAATGAGGTGGGGAGGTCTCCACTGACGGGAGGGGGGGCAAACTCTTCCTGGATGGGAGAAGCTGATCACAGCTGTGCACTCATGTCTTAACGCTCATGATGTAATTTTTGCGCAGAATTGACATTAGAAAGCCTGGAACAGTTCTGGGCTGCTAAGGCACGCTTGCTGGGGGTCCAACTAGCCCGTCACAGCGCAGTTATCTCTGGATGTGCAGCATCTCAAACAGAATCGCGGCACATACAGACTCCTACAACCATAACCACTTCATAAAGCAGACGTGGTCATGGTGGTTGGGGTGACCCTTTTAAATCCTTCAAAAAATGCCACCTTGATAGTAAGACATAGGTTGTGAATTATAGTTTAGTATTTCAGATATCTCCTTTAGTTGATTGTAAGTGTTTAGTAAAAATCATTCATTTAGCAACAACCTGACTTGAGGAAAATTGGGGAAACTAGAAAGCATTGTTTTTGGAAAATAAATCATTAATTAAAGCTTAACCCCTTAAGGACGCATGACGGTTCAGGACCGTCCTCGGCATTTTTGCGTTGCCGACCGAGGACGGTCCTGAACCGTCCTAACGGAAAACGGGCGGCGGGAGCGATCAGAGATCGCTTCCGCTGAAATCCCGTTGTTACTATCTGCCCGGCATCCCAGGCAGATAGTAACAGCCAATTGCGGCATGTGAGCGATCCGCGATCGCTCACAATTGGCTGGTGTCAAAGTGGGTGTTACAAACACTCACTTTGACACTGATCTCTGCCTCTCTCCTCTCTGTAGCGTTTTGTGAGAGGAGAGAGACAGAGATCCTGATAGTTTATTGCAGCAGCTGTTCCTGTGAAAAATAAAAAGTATCTTCAGTTAATTAAAATCCTATTTTAACCCCTTCCCTGCCAGATCTGTTACAGACAGTGCATTTTTACTGTCTGTATTTTTTTTTTTGCCCTTAAGGGTTAACTTTATTTTAAAAAATCTGTGTCTTAGACTGTCTTAGACTGTCTTAGACTGTCTTAGACTAGTCTGTTTTAGTCTGTTTTAGTCTGTTTTAGTCTGTCGTAGTCTGTCGTAGTCTGTCAGTCTGTCATAGCCTGTCGTAGTCAGTCAGTTTCCTTCCCCCAAATCTCCATTAGATTCTTCTAACAGGAGTTAGTTTAGGGATTACTGTTTTAGTCTGTTTTAGTCTGTTTTAGTGTTTTAAAAAAAATAAAAAAAAAATATTGTGTTTAGTATTTTGTTAGTTTAGTCTGTTGGTGTGAAACATGCAGCGCATGTACAGCTTGGAGGAGGCATATGCCTTCTTGGCGTCAGACTCTGACGCCACTGACACTGCGTCCGATTTTGACCCAGGTCAGTTTAGCGGCACGTCTAGTGACATGTCATCTGTGAGTGAGCCAGCTGCTAAAAGAAGCTGTGCTTCCCCTGCTACGCTGAATGTGGAGGAGGACTGGGTACCTCCACAGTTAGCTGAGCCCAACATCCCCCCTTTTAGTGCCAACGCAGGCATTAATGTGAATGTGGTTGACTTCTCCCCTATACAATATATGGAGTTATTTTTAGGGGATACCATCTGGGAGGAGATTGCTTCCCAGACTAATTTATACGCTAGCCAATTTATTGAGACCAATCCAGGTAGCTATACAGTCAGGGAGCATGCTTGGCATCCCACAGATGTCCCTGAACTTAAAACATTCTGGGCTCTTACCATGCTCATGGGGATAATAAAAAAGCCATCAATCCGGTCTTACTGGAGCACCAACCCAATTTGTTCGACTCCTATATTCTCCCAAACAATGCCTAGACCAAGATATGAGCTGCTGCTCAGATACTTACATTTTAACGACAATACGCTCTGTCACCCCAGAGATCACCCCGAATATGATAGGCTTTATAAAATACGCCCACTGGTAGACCATCTTCAGAACAGATTTTCTGAAGTTTATACTCCCCAACAAACTTTATCCATCGATGAATCCCTTATGAAATACAAAGGGAGATTAGGGTTCAAACAATATATCCCCTCAAAGCGGTCTAGGTATGGCATTAAAGTGTACAAACTGTGCGAGAGCGAAAGTGGCTACACATTTGCCTTCCGTGTATACGAGGGGAAAGATGCTCAACTGAACCCTCCTGGCTGTCCTGACTCTCTGGGGACAACTGGGAAACTTGTTTGGGACCTACTGAACCCTTTGTTCAATAAGGGTTACCACCTTTATGTGGACAATTTTTACAGCAGTGTCCACTTGTTTAAAATTCTTTATAGTTTACAGACACTGGCCTGCGGCACTGTAAGAAGAAATGCCAAGGATTTTCCCAGACCTCTCATAGAGGCCAAATTAAAAAAAGGGGAATGCAAAGCTCTGCGCAAGGCTGAACTGCTTGCGCTAAAATTTAAGGACAGGAAGGATGTTCACATGATAACAACCATCCATAACGAGGGCATGTCAGACGTCACTGTCCGAGGCAGGGTACAGACAAAACCGGTGTGCATCAGGGCTTATAACAGGCACATGGGGGGGTGTTGATTTGGCTGATCAGCTGATGCAGCCTTATCTTATCTTAAGAAAGACAAAAGCCTGGTATAAAAAGGTGGCTATCTACCTGTTGCAAGTAGCAACACATAATTCATTTTTACTTTTTTAAAAAATTAATCCAGGAAGAACCACCTATCTCCAATTTCAGCTCAAGCTGATTTCCACAATAATTTATGGAGATGGTCAAGTTCCAACGACAGTGCAAGAGTCGTCTAGACATTTTATTTTTAAGATACCGCCAACACCAAAAAAAAAGAAACCCCCAGAAACGTTGCCGGGTCTGTTATAAAAAAGGGAAAAGGACAGACACCCCTTTTCACTGTCCCGATTGCCATACAAAACCTGGACTGTGCATTGGAGAATGTTTTAAGGTCTACCACACAGAAAATACATTTTTAGAATACTTGTTCCTGATTTATTTTTTTTGTTTATTTTGAAAGCAGCAAATTTCTGTTAGTCAGTATCCTTCCCCCAAATCTCCAGTTAGATTCTTTTTGCAGGAGTTAGTTTACAGATTGCTGCTAACAGAAGTTTTAGTCTCATTTAGTCTGTTTTTTAACTCTGTGTTAGCCAGACTCTGACGCCACTGACACTGCGTCCAATTTTGACCCAGGTCAGTTTTCTGACATGTCATCTGTGTGTGAGCTGGCTGCAAAAAGAAGCTGTGCTTTCTCTGCTACGCCGAATGTGGAGGAGGAACAGGTTTCTCCACAGTTAGCTGAGCCCCAAATCACCTCTTTTAGTGCCAACACAGGCATTAATGTCAATGTGGATGACTTCTCCTCTATGCAATATATGGAGCTATTTTTAGGGGATACCATGTGGGAGGAGATTGCTCCCCAGACTAATTTATATGCTACCCAATTTATTGATACCAATCCAGATAGCTATGCAGTCAGGGAGGAGTGTGCTTGGCATCCCACAGATGTCACTGAACTTAAAAAATTCTGGGCTCTTACAATTCTCATGGGGATTATAAAGAAGCCATCAATTTGCTCTTACTGGAGCACCAACCCAATCTGTTCTAGTCGAGTGTACTCTCAAACCATGTCTAGAACAAGATTTGAGCTGCTGCTGAGATACTTACATTTCAATGACAATACCCTCTGTCACCCCAGAGATCACACCCAATATGATAGGCTTCATAAAATACACCCACTGGTAGACCATCTTCAGCACAAATTTACTGAAGTTTATACTCCTCAAAAAATGTATCTATTGATGAATCGTTAATGAAATATAAAGGGAGATTAGGATTCAAACAATACATCCTCTCAAAGCGCTTTAGGTATGGCGTAAAATTCTACAAACTGTGAGAGAGCGAAAGTGGCTATACATTTGCCTTTCGTATATATGAGGGGAAAGATGGTCAACTGGACCCTCCTGGCTGTACTGACTCTCTGGGGACAAGCGGGAAACTTGTTTTTGACTTACTGATCCCCTTGTTCAATAAGGGTTACCACCTTTATCTGGACAATTTTTATAGCATTGTCTGTTTGTTTCAAACTCTTTAGGGTTTCTAGATACTGGCCTGTGGCAGTGTGAGAAGATATGCCAAGGATTTCCCCAGACCTTTAATAGAGGCCAAAAAAAAAAGTGAATGTAAAGGTCTGCACAAAGCTAAAGTGCTTGCAATAAAATTTAAGGACAGGAAGGATGTTCACATGCTAACAACCATCCATAATGAGGGCATGTCAGACGTCACTGTCCGAGGCAGGGTACAGACAAAACCGGTGTGCATCAGGGCTTATAACAGGCACATGGGGGGTGTTGATTAAGAAAGACAAAAGCCTGGTATAAAAAGGTGGCTATCTACCTGATGCAAGTAGCAACACATAATTAATTTTTACTCTTTAAAAAAAAAATGAATCCAGAAAGAACCACCTTTCTCCAATTTTAGTTCAAGCTGATTTCCACAATAATTTATGGAGATGGTCAAGTTCCAACAACGGTGCCAAAGGAGTCCAGACATTTTATTTTTAAGATACTGCCAACTGCAAAAAAAAACAAATCCCCTGAAATGTTGCTGGGTCTGTTATAAAAAAGGAAAAGGACACTGTTTTTTTTTTCTTTTGAAAACAGCAAATTTTAGTTAGTCAGTTTCCTTCCCCCCAAATCTCCAATTAGATTCTTTTTGCAGGAGTTAGTTTAGAGAATGCTGCTAAAGGTGCATTTGATACCTGCACATTTGGTTAAAAAAGTTTTATGGTAGTAACATATAACTGGCTAGCCAAAACCAGATGACGTGTGCATAAAAAGCAGAATTAAAAAATTACCACCATGCACGTTCTCTGAAATTTGTTTAGCACAATGGTTGGGGGAAGGATGTGAAAACACCCCATATACAATACCCTGGAATGTCTACTTTATAAAAATATAAACTTTCATGATATTAACATTAACAGGGGGA